CACATAGCAGTTTTTTCTGACCAGTGAGCAAACATGACAAATTTCCCATTGACTTTCGGCTCAAGGCATCTACCACAGTATTAGCTTTTCCTAGATGGTACAAAATCTGTAAATCATAGTCTTTAATTAACTCTAACCACCTTCTCTGTCATATGTTCAATTCTTTTTGAGTGAAGAAATATTTGAGGCTTTTATGATCTGTGTATATTTCACAAGTCATTCCATACAGATAATAGCGCCAAATTTTTAAAGCAAAAATCACAGTGGCTAATTCAAGGTCATGGGTTGGATAGTTTCTTTTATAAGGACGGAGTTGTCGAGAGGCATAAGCAATCACTTTTCCATTTTGCATTAAGACACACCCCAAGCCTTTGTAGGATGCATCATTTTAAATCTGAAACCCATCAGTACCATTAGGTAGAGTCAAAATCGATGCAGTCACTAACTTGGTCTTCAACTCTTGGAAGGCAGACTTTCTTTGGTCGTTTTAATCAAATGAGACATTTTTCTAGGTTAACTAGGTCAATGGCATAACAAGTTTTGAGAAGTCTTTCACAAATCTTCTATAACAACATGTAAGTCCCCGAAAACTTCTAACTTCTGACACATTTGTTGGTCTCGGTCAATCTACAATGGCTTCAATTTTCTGAGGGTCAACAGAGACACTGTAGACTGCCCGAACTTCCTCCGTGCACCCCCCTTTTGGAGAGGGCGCGAATTGTAGTTCTTAGCTACTATAGTTCGGACTCCTGACACGGTTCTAAATCTAATCTCACAAAGTGCAATGTAAGACTGATAAATCACCAACGAGTCCAAATCCGACAAATCGTTTTGGAAAATCGATTTTAATCAAAAAGCGCCAAACATGGACTGCTTTGCCAAATTTCAGAGTCGCCACCTAAATATTTTGTTTTTGGAAAAATTTAGGAAACCCTGACTTGTACCTAAGGCCACGCGCCCATCATCACCAAAGCTGCCTCGGCTCGGGAACTTAGGTACGAGAGGGGAAAGTCATGCAATGAGCACCCCCGCTCACCGGATCAAAGGATCGGCCTCTACTAACATGATATGTTGTTTTTGAAAACACATGCGTTCTTATTCCGATTATTAATCTAGAATTACTATGTGATGCACACAGCATACAAGTATAGACTAAATCACTCAACTTGGAACAAAACATTTCATGCTTGTTCGTGAAAATGGTCTAGAAGTGTTACTCGCAAGTAGGCTAAGATGCGGATTTGCCACCCTCAAGTAGGCTTAGAAAAACATGATTTGCCACTCTAAGTGGGCTTAAAACGTACATTTTGATGTATTGTTCCAATTCAAGTAATGAAGCCTTCATCCACAGGCATTCAAGCAGTTATAACAGTTAAGCACATAGCCTCATGGCAAGCATGCTAAACGTGGCAACACTTACACGCATGCAAGGACGCTAAAGCATAAACCTTCACAGTGTACTCCGAGCCAAAACAAAAGCTATGTTAGAAATCATGTATGATCCTAGCTTATGTTAAGATGCCTAATGCAACACATGCAAAAATGCAACTAAGATAGGCTCAGCTACCTAGAATGGCATATGAATGCAACTTGATAACATGTATTCAAATTGGTATTGAAATATAATGCAGTTTGTATGATGCGCCGAGCCCGGTGCATGCAAGACAAACTGAATGATGCACGCATGCAAGCATAAGTATGCTAATTGAAATATGTCCTAATCTAACCACTGAAAGCGGATAAGTAAAAAGGAGAAAGATGTGGGGTTGGAAGACATGCACACACACACGCACACTTATTACAACACTACGCCCTCTCAATGGAGGGTCCGAATGAAAGCTAAGCTACTCTAAGCTAAGCTAAATAACTAATCTAATAATCTAATTAGACTAATTATTACACAACCGAATTGAAAACTAGCTATGCTAAGCTAATTAAGAAATTACAATAATGAATTAAATTAGCTAACACATTAACTAATTAATTACAAAAAAACTAAGCTAATGAACTAGTTTAGCTAAGCAATTTAAACAAATGGCCTCGGAAAGCGAGGGGGATATGCATGCTCGGTCAACTTCGCTCGGAAATCCACTACCGTGCCTTATGATGCCTCTGTTTGCACTCTTTTAGACTTCTAAAAATTGTGCCAACTTCCAAGATGCTTCTGACCCACCTTAAAAACATACTGAGGGATGGTCGGCAGAGTGGGATGGCCATCGGCCACTTCTGATAGCCGATCGGCAGACTTGGTGGCCGGTCGGCCACTGCTTCCGGTAATTTCTCCTTTTGCTGCAACAGAGCAAAAACAGAGGTATTGTAGTGTATTTGCAAGGTATGTGTGCACAACCACCCTCCCTATCATTTCTCAAGCTCAATGGAGTGCGGTGCTCGACTCTCGGGCCACCAACCGAGCATCGCAATACACGATGGCCGAGAAGCCAAGTTTGCACAATTTCAATGTCAATGAATGCACAAATAACACATAAGGGCCTCCACCTCTATCATGCATGATCAAGAGGGTCAATGATCGAGAAATGAGGCACGTTTCATCACTTCAAGTATGAAACGTTCCTCGTTTCTCGTGTTTGGATTAACGTTCAATCCAAACACAATGCAATGTAACAACATTCCAAACAACATGCAAATAACATAAGCATGGCAAGTTAGAGCCCTTAAGCATTAAAACTAGTGAAGGACACAACACAATGGCTATGTAATACAATGCCCAATGGACCAAACCAGCTCCAAATAGACCTCATGCATGCCAAAACAAAGGCCTAAGCATGTTGGAAATGAAGCTCAATGGACTAAATAAACATGCATACATGTTAGGCCACAAACAAGGCACAATGCCCAACTCTCAAACACAATTAAAGAGTGAAAAATAAGGAAGTGTGACAACACTATATGCTCTGAAATATCATTCCAGATGATGCCAAAACATGCACATATGACAAATGAGGCATGCCATGAGGCTCCAAGCTTAAGGCTAGCAAAGGTACTTGCACCATAGCCACATCAAGCAAGCCCCAAAGGGCCAAGATGACTCAAAGCAGTCCCAATGCAGGTCAAAACAATGCCAAAACATGTATGAAATGAAGCCAAAACAAGCTAACCCATAGGGGTGGGTTCGGGTCATGACAATCAATCCGACCAAAACCAGACGTATAATATGACCAAATAACACCCAAAAGCCTCTGAGATGGAGCTAAAACCAACTAAGCACACATGCTACCTTTATGAGCCAAAAACACAAGCATATGAGACATAAGGGTATAGGGGTGTCCCTCCCCTATGCAAGACCTCAAAACCCCTTCACCACCACGGAAAATCCTCTAGATTTCAATGGTGAGAAGGCCAATACACGAAAGTTCTCAAAGCTCAAACGAAGAAGGCACAAAAGGTCCAAACGAGGCCTAAAAGGGGGAGGTCGACCCCAAACACAAAAATGACCTTAATGAAACATCTTAAACATGAAAAATCAGGACTTTTATCAGTTATACACAAAGCTCAAAACAGCATGCAAAGTAGGTTAAAAGCTAGTGCAAGAATGGGGAATATAAAGCAATAGTGCTCACCCTTGAAGAACACTTCAAGAACCAAAACTCCAGCCCCCCCTTTTCTGATCAAAACCAACTCAAAAGCACCAAGAACAACCTCTCAACACCTCAACAACCCAAGTATGGTATAACACTAGGTGTCTTTGTGCAAAACTCAGAACAAAACTCACTTTTGAACACTCTAACACACACAAATGTAGAGAGAGAGAGAGGAAGATATAGAGAGAGAATGATATATATGACATATATATCTCTGATTTTTCTCAACCCCCTCAAAGTAGAAGAGAGGCCTTCTTATATAGAGCAGGACAAAGGCCTAAGCTTCTTAGAGAAGCTAAGGCAAAGGGGTCAAGGCTTCTTAAAGAAGCTAAGGCAAAAGGGTCAAGGCTTCTTGAGGAAGCCAAGACAAAGGTGCAAGCTTCTTGAGGAAGCTAAGACAAAGGGTCAAGCTTCCTCAACAAGCTAGAGTAAAGGGTGCAAAGGGTGCAAATCCTCCATACACGTGCATGGAGGTTTGGTCTGTGCACTCCAGCTGGCACAACTGGCATGCACAATACCTGGAAAAGGCAAAATAGAGGTATCGGCCAGAAAAAGAGACAATCGGCCAAATAAATGGCTGATCGACCAGACATCCATGCCGACCGACCAAACAATTGGTCGGTAGAAAGAAATAAAGGCCGGTGGCTTCCTGCCACGGCCGGTGGGTTTAAGAGATGGCTAACAAGCCACTTCCTAACCTCAGGTGCAAGAACCACAAGCTCTTGGTCCACAACCAAGCACAAAACAGACAAGTTGGGAGGCTCCAAGGCAAGGCGCACAGCCGAGACCTTCAGAAACTCAAAACGAACACGAGCATGGATGATCATCGAGTGTTCAAACGATGACGTCCAAGTCTTGAGGACGGTCAAAAATGGGGTGTCTATAGACACTGTCTTTGTTAATTACATGTCACAAAAATGCTACATTGTCAAGCCAGAATTCGCATTTAGACAATTTTGCATACAACTTCTTTTTTATCAAAATCTGTAAAGCAGTTTGCAAATGGTTCTCATGTTCTTCCCTGCTTTTAAAGTAAATCAAAATATCATCAATAAACACAACAGCAAACTCATCCAAATATGGTTTAAATACCTTGTTCATAAGGTCCATGAAGGCAGCAGGTGCATTAGTCACTCCAAACGGCATTACCAAAAACTCATAGTGCCCATATCTACTCCTGAATGCAATTTTCTCTACATCTTCTGCCTTAACTTTCAATTGGTGGTACCCGGATCTGAGGTCAATTTTAGAAAATACTTGGCCCCTCTAAAGTTGGTCAAATAGGTCATCTATTCGGGGTAGTGAGTATTTGTTCTTCACGGTCACTTTATTCAATTCACGATAGTCTATACATAACCTCAAAGACCCATCCTTCTTCTTTACAAATAAGACTAGAGCACCCTAAGGTGATGTGCTTAGGCGGATAAATTCTTTGTCCAAGAGTTCTTGGAGTTGAACTTTCAACTCTTTCAGTTCAAAAGTTGACATTCCATAGGGAGTTTTGGAAATAGGTTGTGTTCCAAGTACTGTATCAATTGTAAACTTAATTTCCTTATCAATTAGGTCCTCGAGTAGGTCATTAGGAAACACATCAGGAAAGTCACAAACCACTAGAATAGTTTCCACACTGGTACTATCCGAAGATACAGTTAGCACACTACACAAGTAACCCCAACAACCTTTTCTCAGTAATTTTCTGGCTTTCATAAGTGAAATCAAGTATGGTGAGGAAACTACCCCATTCCCAGTAAAAATAAATTCAGGCATACTAGGTGGTCTAAACACGACAGATTTACTTGCACAGTCAATGGTGGCACAGTATTTAGTCAACCAGTCCATGCCTAGAATACAATCGAAATGATCAATGCTCAAAGGTAACAAATCAACATACAATGTCATATCACCAATCATAATATCACATATCGGATAAACATAAGCACATATCATAGAACCCCCAGACAGTGTAGATACAGATAGTAAACAGTTCATAGGTTCTAATGGTCTAGTTAATTTCTGAGAAAAAACATGCGACACAAATGAATACGTGAAACCAAAATCAATAAGCACATAGGCATTCTGAGCACAGATAGAAATTGTACCTGATACTACTGACTTAGCATTCTGTACATCCCCAGGTACGAATGCAAAAACCTGGCCTTGTCTCAAAGTTTCTCCTCCAGTATTGGCCATCACATTAGTTATTGGTGCAAGAACAGACCCAGCTGAACTTGCAACAGGACAGGTAGTCGTATCGAGTCTCATCGGGCAATCCCTAATCATGTGGCCCGTCTTGCCGCATCGAAAGCAAGCACCAGATGCACAATGGCACATTCCCCTATGTTTCCTTCCACATTCTGGACAAACTAGCATAGACCCGCTACTTTGGCTTGAGCTACTTGACGATCCAGTATTTTGCTTCTTCGAAAATGATCGGCCTTTCTTGAAATTGAATCTGACCCTTTTGCCTCTCCATTCAGTTGTTGGAGTTGTAGTTTGTGTCTTGGCTGCTATTATGGCCTTTGTCATCAATGCCCTATTGAGCACTTCCACATAAGTAGGCAATTTCAAGATGCCTACTCGATCAAATACTTCCAGGTCTAGTCCTCCCTCAAACTTTCGTGATTTCTTATAATCGGTGTCCACCATGTGTGGGGAAAAACAAGCTAACTCAGTAAACTTGGCCTCATATTCGGCCACTAACATCCTGCCTTGTTTGAGTTCTTGGAATTCTGACATTTTTCGGTCTCTGAAGCATTGAGGAAAGTATTTGTTGTAGAATATCTCGTTAAATTGAGCCCATGTCATGTCCTCATTATTGTTTCGGACCAACAACCATCATCTCCGAGCTTCATCCTTTAGAGTGTAGGTAGCCAAGAGTACTTTCTGAGTTGCGGAGCAAAGGAATACTTCAAATAACTTTTCCATTTCTAGCAACCATGTTTCTGCCTTCAATGGTTCAATGCCATCCAAGAAGGTCGGCGGTTTCATTTTCATAAATTTCTGAGTCAAATTGATGATGTCACTATTGTTCGGTTATACTAGTATTGGCGGAGGTGGAGGAGGTAAAGGTTGTTGTCTCAATTGTTGCGTCATGGCTTCAGTTAAAGCCGCAAGCATCTGTTCCATTATGTTCATTCGGGCCTCAGAGGATTCACTCACATCATTTCCCCTTTGCATTCTCCATTTTGCTATAGAGAGACAAGGTAACAATAAACATAGGAATAATCTTCTTTTTTTTTATTATTATTCAGATTCAAATTCAGTTCTCACATGTATAAAGATTATCACACATTCACACATGTTGATGAAATGTCCCTAATTCTTTCTAGGACATCCTATAGCTCTTATGGACTCGTGCGTGCGGTATAACTCGTGCTCTGATACCACTTTGTCACGACCTAAACCTGCCCCTATAGGTTTAGTGTCGTAACCGGCCAGTAATCTGTGGATTACCAAAGGCCTTTTGACAAAACAATATATAGTAAGGGGCTGCGGAAGCAAATATAGAGAATATGCAATGTCCATAGAGCTGTGTTAACATGTATGAGACGAAAAACTTCAAAACGAACTTGTATTTATATATATAACATCATAAATACATTAACCATGCATCATCCATTCATAAGGATGAAACCAAAAAGGGACTAAGCCCAGTGTACAAATAAGCAAACAAGCAAAAACGACTGTAGTAAAGTTACAAAACTAGACATCTCGAAAGGGAACCTCCTTGGGAGGCACAGAAGGAAGGCTGACAAAAACTGAGACGCCCGGTCCTCAACTCTGTGTCTGGCCACGTGCCTGCTCACCTACGTACATAATATAAATAGTGAGCTAGAGCCTAGTAAATAATAACAAAGTAAAGGGTTCTAATGAATGATGTCCATAACAAAATCGGAAACTAGAATTCATAACAGAAACAGATTTTATATTTATTCTCTTGTTCAACTTCATACAGAAATCAGAGTTCATGCTTCGTTATACATGGTACATCCATTAGCGTTAACTTGCTTGTTAGTTCCATTTTGAACCTCCGGTACCGGAAAACTTGTAACTTGCTTGAACCACAGTATTGTTACCCCCGGGAAAAGGCCTTGCTTATAATGGCACAGTATTGTTACCCCCGGGCAAGGGCCTTGTCCTAAGGATACCACAAATACTTTACAGAAATTTGGACAATCATTCATTCATACAAAACATTGCATTTCAAAAAATTAATCATTTCATAGCATCAAAAAATAATTAAAGGTAAACATAACTTTACAGAGTTATTACTCACTGATGGTTCCACTTGCAAAACAGGAAAATCAAATAACTTGAGGCGCGTGACCTATACATATATAGCAGAAACACATAATGAAACACACACTCAGTTGGCACTTAACTTTATTCATTTCATTCCTAGTGTGTTTCTAGGTCTTAACCTCTTATTGAGTCTTAATCATAGTCTAGGAATGCCTAAGATGGAATGAGGAAGCAAAAATGCATTTGAAAACACTTGGTCAAATTTTCTGAAAACAAGGTCCCTGCTCGAGCGTAGCTTCCCCCGCTCGAGCAGACATGCAATGTGTGAGAGGACGCTCGAGCGCAACTTCCCATGCTGGAGCGCTCTGCAAATTTTGAAAAAGTGCTAATTATATGATTTTCACGCCCAACGGACGGTCGATGGTCGCTTGAGCGTGAGGCCCATGTCCCCACTCGAGCGCAACTCTTACCACTCAAGCGGTCTGCAAAAACATGAAACTTCTGGGAGAATGTATTTCACGCTCGAGTGAACTTCTGGTCACTCGAGCGGAAATGCAAAAACAAAGGTTGTCGCTCGAGCGCAGAATCTCACGCTCGAGCGAAAGTGCAGAATCTGAAATTTTCAGATTGCACTTCCAAGCTCCAAATTCGAATTCCACACTTCAAAACTCATCTTTTGGGCCAAAATTTTGGAAAATATCTAAGAACTTATACATCATTATGATTTGAAGATTATTTCATGAAATCACGGCCCAAAAGTATGTCAAACATACAAAAATTCAACTTGAAATGTAAGAACATGATATGAACATGACATGCATGTGTTCACTTGGGTTCATGGCTTCTAAAACATGATCAAATGAGGTCCATTGATGAGAAATGTTATGAATTCTTCAACTCATGCTAGGATTACAGCATGCATGGGGGAAATCTTTGAAAACAACTTCAATATGCTATAAATATGCATGCATGTATGGAATGACTTAACTTTATTCAATTCTAGCTCAATTCCTACACGAATTCACCTAATTCACTTCTTTTCATACATTAATCAACTACATTACAAGGTCAAAGACTAAAACTCTTACCTAAAGTCTAAATTGCACAAGTAAGGAAGCTTTAATTCCCAAATTCTTTGCAAATCTGTAATAATTCCTAGCAATTCTCACATTTCCCAATTTTTGATCTGAATTTTCTTCTCTCTCTCTCTCTCTCTCTCTCTCTCTCTCCCACGTTTTGCTTGTGTGTGTGAGCTCAAATGTGTTGAAATGAAGAAAAACAAATAGTGAAGGCACATAAGAAGCCTTATATAGGTTTACGTAATGATAATTAATTAAGGCTAATTAAGTGGGCGTTAAATTAATCTAATTTAATCGTCCGAATCGAATTTTAATTAAACCTACCATAATGTTCTAAAAATTCCAAATAACACATAAATCAAGTCAATTTCTGAATTGGATGCCGATAAGGTCTTCAATTCGCAAACCGAAACGAAATCATGAACAGATCTTTCTACGTTAAACAGATATAAACACATATAAGACAACACATAATGCAACATTTCACTTTAGTTACTTATTAGGCATAATTATGCATGGATTAACGCTAATCATGGGTCAGGGTTGTTACACATTGCATCCCCTCTCCCGCCATGAATCCCCAGGCTAGCCCCCTCCTCATCTTTAAATCCTTCTAAAACCCTAGATCTAGGGTTTAAGGAGAAAGTGAGTCAAGAAGAAAAAGACTCAAATCTTGAATTTTTTTTTTATTTTTTTATTTTCTCCTCTCTTTTTTTAAAGGCATAAGTAATGTGGATCTGCATATGACTAAGAAAGACTTCAATCAGGAAGATTGAGGTGATGTTTGGTTTGTTGAAATAAAAATAGTTTAAATAAAATGATCAATTTTAGCTTTCTATTTAGCCTTACCAAAAACTAAATAAATAAAAACTGTTTTCGCTTTCAATTGTTAAGTTGAAGAGAAAAGAAGAAAAAAAAAAATTATTGTTTTTGGTTCCTATTTTCTAAACTCATATTTTTTGAAAATTTTGAAATTTTTGTTTGATTATTTTGAAAATCAAATAAAGTTTTCAAAATCTGGCTTCTGATTGCTTTTTTTGAGTTTACACATTTTTTGAAAATGTATACTTTTTTTTAAATGTACAATTTTATTTTATTTTTTTGGTACACTTTTTTGTACAAAGTTTTCATAAGGTTTTTAAAATATGAAAATGTATAGTTTTTTTTTTTGTATTTTTTAATATTTTTGGTATTTAGTGTATTAATAATGGGTTTAAAAAATTATTTGCACAATTTTTAAATATACAGTTACAATTTCAAATATAACGCAAAATTTATATAAACTTTAACAATTTATGAAAACAAATCGAAAATACAAATTTATGAGTGAAAATTTTATGATACATGGGAGTATTTTTTGATGTGACATTTTTTTAAATTGTCTCTCTCCTTAAATTGGAGGGAAACTTAAATTTGCAATAACGCATTTTTTTTAAAAACCAAACAATGATCCTTTTTCAAAATAGAGTTTTTAAATCACTTTTTGAAAAAATAATTCAAAAAAAAATGGAACCAAACATTATGAATAATTTCTCACTTATCTTATTTGAATATATTGTATAAAAAATTTAACAAAACTATTACAAAACTATATTAGTAAAATAGTCTTTCATGTTTGTAATTCTTTAGTACTGAGATGGACAATTTTCATACCATACAAAATCAATAAGCATTTCGTCAATTCTCTCCATTTTACAGATATTCAAATAGTGGATATAAGAGAAATTAATTTTTCTCCAATTTTGATGTTCTTTTTCTCCCATTTTTCTCCTCAATAATCCAAATAGGAGATTAAGACCAATAGATTTGATTTTTATTTTTATTTTGGATAAATAATAAATACACTCCTGAGATTTGCTTAAAATACGAATTGCTACCTATAATTTGAAAAATTACAAATACGTCCCTATCAGAATTTTTCATTTAACAGAATTAATTGAAAAAGTGAAATTTCTAACTGTTCACCTATACAATAATAAAATTATCTAAATTATTAATTGAAATAAAATTTTAACATTATTAAAAACTATTAATTAACTTGATGATTTATTAATAAAATGACATATTTGTTATGAAATTAAAAATTTGAAGAGATATAATTAATTTTTAAAATCACAAAAAATAATTTATAATTTAAATAAATTTCAAAAGTGTGTTTATAATTTATCCTTTTATTTTTATTAACTCTCTAAATCACTTCATCCAAACAAATAAACCAATTTTAGATTTCATGATGAGAATGCTCTTAGGCAGAGTAGGAATGAAAAGATGGAATCAGAATTTCTTTCAATAATGAAAATGCGATTCTTTGTTCAGTTATCAAGACAGAATGAGATAATCAGTGTTTGGAATTGACTTATGTCGTGGTTTTTTTGCCATTTTTAGTGATTTTTAAAAGTTTTATGTTTCTACATTCAACCCAACAAGATGAACTAAAAAGTCCAAAAAAAAAAAAAAGTTTTCAAAAGATTTAAAAAAATAAAA